ATGGGGGGGAAGCCATTGTAATCCATAAGCTGTACTTTGGAAATTTATATTCATTTAATAAAAGTTAAAAAAAAGAGAGATCTTCCCTCCGCTGGTTCACTCTCCAAATGGCTGCAATGCCCAGCTGGGCTACATCAAGGCCAGGAGCCAGGAATTCTATCCAGGTCTCCCATGTGGGTGGCAGGGGCCCAAGTGCTTAGGCTATCATCTTTCCCAGCTGCATTAGCAGGGAGCTTGATTGGAAATGAAGCAGCCAGGACTCAAACTGTTACTCTGTTATGGGATGCTGGCATCACAGGTTGTGATGTAACCTGTTGTGCCACAATGCCTGAATTTATTTCCCTTTTCCAACTGTAACAGTATCCTCATTGACCAGAAAGGTTGTTGTTGAATAATTTTTAAAACTAACTCTGTGAACCTATATTTCTTATTATTTTTAATAGCAGAAGTCTCTATAGAAATTTCCTGAAATGCTTGAACCAGTAAGTCTCCTAGTCTATGCTAAGGGGCTTTCTGCAAGTTGGGCATTCCTTCATCAGTCATCTAGACAATTTACTGTTTTGCTGGCCTTGATATCCTGCTTACTTCAAACCTTGAAGTCACCCAGAGGTGACAGCTTCAAGCTTTCTCACATCTTTCCTGAGCAAGCTGACAGCTCTGGGCTTTATATTCAGTGCTGTTCATTTAGGTGGCCATCTACGGTCTCAGGAGTGTATCAGAACTATTCAGAACCTTTATGGATATCTCACTCCTCAGCTTTTCCTTTTAGTTTTTGATGAGCTTTTTTTTTTTTGTTATCTACCACCTCAGCTCGCTAGTTGCTCAGTTAAACAATTGCCTTTAAATGTTTTTAACAAATGCCTCTAAGGAATGGGGCTGTTCATACCAAGTGAGCTCTGATTAGTTCAAATAGTCTTATAGGTAAGGTCCTCCAAAAAACCATCATCCAGGTCAGATAATGACAGTATTCTGGGGCTAAAGCTTTGACAGAACCATAACCCAGTTGACTTATTTCACAGTGTGGTTTTTCAAAGCTACCATGCAGTTGGAGGGAGAGGGATGGGTATAGGACAAGTTAAAATGCCATTGAGGCACTTTTACCATTTTGAGTAGCTATTTTTCTGGTGTATATATG